TTCAGCTTTTTCAAGGAGTGTAACCTTTTTCTTTGGCCTGAAATTAGACACTGTAGATATAGTTGGTGGCCTTGTAAGGGAGATCTGTTGGAAGCTTGTCTGGTATCAAAAGAAAATTGAAATTCCATTGCTTCAGAATAATGAAACCTTTAGAAAAAACCTCTTTGTTTCATCTATATTGAAGTTTTGACTCAGAAATGCCCAAAGAAACGCTCTTTCAGGTCTCAATAACCTACTTGTTCTCTGAAATATTGCTGTCAGATTTCTAAAGTGTATTATGTCTGACACTTATTTCAAAGCAAGAAACATTAGGGATAAGATGAAACAGTAGAAAAGAGCTCTGATGAAAAACAGAAACAGAAGAAGATGAGACAGACACTTGGGTGGCACTTTCGGATTGCCACCAGGATAGCTCTAGGAAGCAGAGGCTGGCTCGCCAATCAGCTGTTTGGCCACTGTGGATTCTGGACTGCACCGGTTTTTGCCTTTTTGACACTCTCATATTGGAAAAGAACTTTTTTCTCCATCTCGTTCTGCCAAGAGCTATTATTATTTGCTGTTTTTAAACAAGTTATAAAACTCTGGAGCTATCATACAGTGGGTAGCGCACTTGTTTTTCATATGCCCAATCCAGGTTCAATCTCCAGCACCACGTATGGTCCCCTGAGCTCCACAAGGAGTGATCCCTGAGTGCAGAGACAGGAGTAAGCCCTGAGAACTTCCAGGTGTGGATAAAATCCTTCATAAGAAGTATTTCTGGATTTTTGGAGTGATGCACTCTATTTTTGTAAGTTATAGGAAGAAGGAACTGAGGGAGAGAGTGTGAAAGAGAAAGATATTTATCTTCTATAAATCTTCTGATTTTTTTTTTTTAAAAATGAAAGCTTTATGCTTACAGAAGGAAGAAGTTTCAAAAGAGTGAACCAGAAGTTTTGTTAGGTATGGAATACCCAACATCAATTCAACATCAGCATCAGCAGTTGGACATTCATTATACATGCGTTTTTTTTTTTTTAATTTTGAAGGAATCTCATCTGATTTTCTGTCAAATAACCTGCCTCTTTCATTGCAGATGGAGGGGTACATTGAGTGATTATGAGAACAAATGGAACCCATCCTTTTGAAACATCTGTTCTTCCCAGAAATCACTGTGCTCTTCAAGTTTTCATGTCAATAGATAATTATAGCCGTGTTGTGCTGGGTATATAGTATTTTCTTAGTAAATACTGGATTTAGATTGTGCTAGACATAATGGACAGGCAGGGACGGCAGGGACAGCTGAGCTTGCTCCTTTCTGTATTAAACAAGACACTAAGAAATAACAGGTCATCACAGGAGGCATTGCGTCTTATTTAGATGAAGTTGCAGGAGCCCTATTATGCAGATAACCCCCATTCTCAAGCAGACCCAGGATCATCTTGCTCTGCCCTTCTACCACTTGTTATCTGGCGCTGGCACTGATTAGGGACGGAACTGTTGTGGCTGTAAATGAGCAAGACGTAAGCAGGTTGAATCCTAAAATGATTCCTAACTTGTCTTCTGTCGTGCTGTTTATTACAGTAGCAATCTTCCCTCTGCCTGACTCATAGCAGAAACCCCTGCTGCTCTAAGACTCCAGTAGCCAAGGCCAGTGCTTTATGCTCAAGTTTTTTGGAATTTGTGGAGGCCAACGCAGGGGTTACCCTCCTAGTAGTAACTAATTAGAAATCATGAAGCTCCTGCAGGAGGAAACAGAGCAAGCTGGCCTGTTGTGCTTGTGGTTATTAGCTAATCTAATCCTTTTAGAGAGAGTGATGTGTTCAGTGTTTGTATTTTCCCTCCCCAGCTTAATGAGTTATCAGTGTATTATTGTCTTGTTTACCTCTCTTCCCCACTTGGTATTTCTGTGTCGGTGTTCTATGGAGATTTCCACAAGTCTTAATTCTACCAACGATCCAATATTCAGAATTAAACAAAGGATTCCAACTGGACAGTCCTAGGGTGTGATGATCAGATCAAGGATCTCACCAGTACTGGTGCCATAGAACTATTAACTGAAGAGAAACACTTGTGACTACCTTACTGTATTAGGCTATCACTTCGTCCCCTCAGTATAGAAGCCTGTTTAAGAAGCTCACCGCTTAAGTATTTTCTGTGTCTCTGGAAACACTCATGGTGGAGCACTAGAAGGGTTGAACAAGGGTTCCCCAACCTGACAATACTTTGACTTGTGCCACTTGGCCTCACTTGAACCCCTCTGTCACTTTTCTGTAGTTCCTGTCTATACTTTTTTCATTTGTTGCAAGGGAATTCTACTTTTGGAACATACCTAGTACATCTTAGCTAAGAACTTGGTCCTTGGTTCGTCTAGTACTATTGCACTCACTCACTCCTTGTCTCTTCTCTGGAATTTCTTTTTCTGCTGCATTCTTAATTCTCGGAGGCCCTTTTTCTTTTGTTTGGACTGTTAGATTTAAGTGGCATAATGGTTAGGAATATAGATTTTTAGCCAGAAGATCTGGGTTAGATTTAAGTGGCGTAGCTTAATGGTTGGGAGTATGGATTTTTACTCAGAAGACCTGGGTTCAGATCCCCACGTTGCTACTTAACAGCATGGACAAAATAAGTAACCTGTTTGTAGATCTTGGGTTTCTTATCTGTAGAATGGGCTCTAAGGATATCTGTGTAATGACAAAATAAATGAGTGAGCACTGCAGGTGGTGGCAATGTATCTCTCGTCTGTCATTTGCATTCAGGGCCATGAGCCACTGCCCTCACCCTAGCCTGCATCTGCCGCCAACAGATGTATGAAGGAGAGAACAGGGCCACCAGGCTGGTTGGTGATCAGTTGCCATTTATTCCATTCTCCCTATGCACCTGTTCCAGTCTCACACCGCCCCTCACTCCCGTCTCTTCCTGTCCCTCATTGCTAGTCTCTACACTCCACCTTGCAGCTTCCTCCAAGCCTTGAGGGTAGCAGGTGAGGTGAGGCAGCACAATCAACATATGTAGAGGACCTTCCTTCTGGAGAAGCTCTTCTAAAGATCTGCAGCCAGGAGATCCACTCATGGGCCAGATACCATCTAGGAGTGTGTTTCTCCTTTCCTTAGTCCAACAACCACAAACATTCATCTTAATTCTACTTCTTAATATTATTCATTTTTTTATGGACACAGTAAGTGATACATTAAGCTTGTAGGGTGGCTCTCCTGGGGACTTTTTGCTGTAGATCCCAGACTGCAGTGCTCAGGCCAGATTTTTTTCCTAACCCTAGTAGGATCTAAAACCAGTTGTTACTCTTTGGATCATGACAGAATTTGACCATGACCATGCTCTTAACCATGCTTAAGTATTATGGTGCTTGCCCTGGCCCCTTTTGATGCTAGGGTAGTTTACAGCTTGCCCTGGGTTCATCCAGGCCCTTGTCGGGACACTGCTTTTGGGGTGCTAGGAAGTAAGGGCAACTGAGGCTTAAGTCAAGAAAACTGATTCCCAAGAGTGAATATTATTTGGAGTCAATTAACTCTGAAGTTAGGAAGCATAACATTAACTGTCTTCCTGTGTTTATACAAAAAAAAAGTACATTACTCTGAAGTAAACAATGCAAAACGACATAAGGGAAGGAGAAAAGCAGTATTTCACTTACAAATACAAAGTCAGATTTCTGAGGAATTTGACTTTACAATCGCAGGTACTCTTTTAGGGGAAAATGGTGATTAACTGGTTGGGGAAGAGAGCACAGAGAAGAGATTAAAGATAAGCACCAGAATGGGAATGCCTCAGGAGCACTGTGATGGGTGTAACCCAAAAAACCTAAGCTCCCTGTGGCCAGGGAGAAATGACATACCAATGTTATCCTACAGATACATACCTCTAGGGTTGTCTTAAGGCTTAAATGAGATATAGTAGATGCTTATTAAAAGTATTGCTGGTTTTTAATGTTACTTGTTTTAATACTGTGGTTTTATTAGGGTTTTTCAAAGTGGGTGATACCACTTCCCATGGATTCTGGAATTATATGTTTATGGAGATGGGGGGGGGGGAGGACTGTAGCTTAAGTGCAGTTGGGGATTAATTTTTCTTTGTTTAATGAATGAATATTTACAGGATGGCACAGAGTAATTTTTTTCTAAAAAGAGGGCGGTATTCAAATAAATTTGTGAGCTTCTGTTTTATACAAAGTAATGACATTAACAATAATTTGTAGTTTAAAGCATGATTCCAGAATAATTTATTATTTTTTGTCTCTAGCTTTGATAATTTAGTTTACATTTGTAGGACCCTCTGGGACAGTCCTCTCACAGTTTTCAAAGACAACATGGCCAAAGTTTAATGAGTTATATCTCATCCAGATTTATACCTGACATTTCTAGAGTGGCATCATGGTATAACTTTCTCAGTCCATTAATTGGACAAATTTGAGATTTTTCCTTATTCTAAAAATAAATCATGACTATCACATTTAGAAAAAAATTGTTCATTACATTTTACTACAATATTAACAGTATAATTTGATATGATCTAAACATATATATGTGTAATGATTAGAAAGATGGCTTCTGAAAAAATTTTTATTTAGTAGGATTTTCTGTCATTTAGGATTATGATGCTTGTCATTTTGTCTTACAAATTTTCTAAAATCACTTGGACATATAAGGAGAAAAAAATTCACCTTATTGCTTCCGTATAAAGGGAAAAATTGCTAAAATCTAAGAGGAAATGGGATACATATTTTAAGTTCTATGCTGACCTTTAAACAACAGGTATATATATAATGCTTGGTATATAATAAGCTCACAGTATGTATTTTTAGAACAATATATGAAATAGTATTATATTTCCTAGCATTTTAGAAAGAGTTTTATAAAGTTAAGAGTGCATAGTTCCTTAGGATAATTAATTTTATACATTTCTTTGAAAATATTTGGGGGTCGTGAAGAAAATGCTGTTAGTAAACAAAAAAATAAATTAAACTGAATGTAGCAGATTCTTTTTAATACTATATAACTTTACCATTTCAGAGGATGATGTGACCCAAAGAAGAGTAGCTGGAACTGACTATTCAGAAACCTTATTTACTTCAAGAAAATCAACTCATGAAAGTGAACCAGAGGGCCACCATCTGAGAAATAAAACCATTTTTCTGCATACTTCATCACAATGTTCAGAAGAGGAACAGGTGATGCCATTGTGTATTTAAAGAAATAGTCTGAGGGGGGAAAAATCTCAGTTGAAACAGCATACATTTACTTCTTCTTTTTTTTTTTTTTTTTTACTTATACCTGGAGATGCTCAGGGGTTACTCCTGGCTCTGCACTCAGGAATTACTCCTGTTGGTGCTTGGGGCACCATATGGGATGGAACCCAGGTCAGCCGCGTGTAAGGCAAATGCCCTACCTGCTATACTATAGCTCCGGCCCTGAAACAGCATACATTTAAAAGTTAGAGAGGGTTGGACAGCTAGTACAGAAGGCAGCACCTTACCATGCACACGGACATCTGGACCCATCCCCAGCACTCCATAGAGTCCCCTGAGCCCCACCAGGTGTGAGCTCTGAGCTTAGAGTCAGGAGTCAGCCCATAGAAATGCTGGGTGTGCCCCCCTCCCCAAACAACAGTAAAAGAGATACTACTACATGCCTAGCAAGCACTGTATACCTGGGTTTGATTCCTAACACTGCTGGTTGAAGAACCTCCCTCTGGCTCCCAGTACCACTGAGTATGGCCATGAGACCCCCTGGTAGTGGTAATCCAGGAACCCCTGGAATCACAAGGCTGAGCAACAGCACAGCATCCTCCAGACCAGTTGGCCACGAATTTGTGCCCCCCACCCACCCATTCCTACCTGCTTAACACTGCTTAGGAATGTGCACCCTCCCCCGCAGCCCTGCCCTCCAACGAGACAGCCTGTAAGACCGAAATATTGGACTGTTACTGGGTCAGTAACTCAGACTTCTAATTTTAGAAGGGTGCAGAGTTTTGGTAAAGTTTTTCAAAATCATCATTATGTTTCATGATTTCACCAACCAAAGTTTATAATGGTAACTTGGGTTGTCCCCAGTTTTTAACTTTTTGGGATCTGACATTACACATTCTTCTTGAATGTGTTTTCAGCAGTGTATCCTCTGTTTGAAACAGAGTTTGTTATTATTATTATTATGTTTTTAAAGAATTTCCTTTTCAAAATTTACCTTTAACCTGTCCAGTGGGTTAATCTCTTTCAGATTTAAAGTGGAATTTGTTATCATGGTTTTCTATGTTTTAACCAATAAATGTTGGATGTTATCTTTTCTAATTTTAATTCAAGATTTTATGTGTTTAGTGTTATTTATTTATTTATTTATTTATTGCTTTTTGGGTCACACCCAGCTATGCACAGGGATTACTCCTGGCTCTGCACTCAGGAATTACTCCTGGTGGTGCTCAGGGGACCATATGGGATGCTGGGAATCGAACCCGGGTCGGCCGTGTGCAAGGCAAATGCCCTGTCCGCTGTGCTATCGCTCCAACCCCCATGTTTAGTGTTTTTAACAGAATGTTTTAAAGATGTTTTAAATACTTTTAGTGTTTTTTCACAGAATGCTTACTTTACTTTTTTTTTTTTTGTCATTTGAGATTCTACCTTCTACTCCATCATTCTTTCAAAAAGAAAGATGAACTCTTTTTGACAGTGTTATTCAACTGGGGGCCGTATACACACTCCCCTCCCCCCCCCCAGGATATTTTAGGTGTCCACAAGTTTTAGAATCTCATAAATGGGAGATTGAGACTAGAGTTCGAACTGATAGGACAGAGAGATACAAGCTCGGAAAGGAGCCACAGTTGGAAAAAAATTGAGAAACATTGGTTTATGAGACTGTCATTTTAGGAAAGGAACAAAACAATCTGTGTTAGATATATGAGTCTCATCTCTAGCAGAGACCTAAATTTCTATAATTCTAGAACTTACTTCCAGTGAGATGAATAGATTCACTCTCTACTGGCAACCTTTGGCAAATTGGAAGTACATTATTTGTGAAATTTATAACCATCATGTGAGAAGCAAAGAAATGTTTGATGGCATTATTTTATCATTAACTTGAAAACATGTTAGTATTCTTTTATTTGACCTTCAGGGGTTCCCAGAGAAAGAATGAAAGGGTATTGTGGTGGGAAGCGTTTTCATTTGTAAATATAAAGGTTAGCAATCTGGTATAGCATAGATGAGAACAGAAGTAAAAATCCCGAAAACTTCCTGACCATTCCTGCTGAATCTGGCCCATTATGCACAGCTCATTTCCAGAAACCAGCAGGACAATTCTGTCATCCGAAGGGCTTATAAGATCAGCTCCTTTATTTATTTTTTATTTTATTGTTTCATTTTAGCTCAATAAGATTTCCTCACTGTTTGGGGTTTTTATTTTTTTTCCTCTATTTTTCCAGATAGTCCTGGATGAAGGTCAGAAAGTTGGTGGTTCCCTGCATGGTGATATGAGTCGGGCAGGAAAGATAATGGTAAGTCATGATTCAATTTTATTCTTTAGAAAACAAACAAACAAACAAAAAACAAACCTGTCAGGATTCAAGGAACTCAGCAGCTTCCCCTTTGGGTTCCTCATGAGCTGGGCCACACACTTCAGACAGATTGATAGGAGAAAAAAAATCCAAAGGCAGTTTAATATGGACTTCCTGTGAACATGTGTACCTCCTGTGTACCTGGGAGAGACAGCGACACTGAGTAACTCATCATGTTTGGTTACTTGACCATCTTTAAATGGCTCAGCTATCTCTGAAGCCACTGGGAAGGAGAAAGAGAAGGTCAGGGTTGTAAGTTTTCAGAGAAGGCACAGTGAACAAAGATAATCAGGTTCGAGTTCCACTCTTCCTCAGGAATAAAGGGCAGGCGAGGAGGCATTCCTGATGGTAAAGCACTGGCCTTGCACACACTGGCTCTCAATCCCCTGCACCACCTATGGTCCCGCAGACACCTCTGGGTGTGATCCCCGAGTACAGAGACAGAAATAAACCCTGTGCACTGCTGGGTGTGGTCCCCAAACAAAAAACAAAACAAAAGAGTCATTTTCAAAACCCCTCAAAGGAATTCAGTCTTTTGCCAAAAGAAAAAGATGTGTTTTGGGGTGGCAGAGTTTGGCTCCCCTGCAAAACCTTAAAGATAGAAAAACATGGAATGCATTAACTCATTCATGGTCTCTCATACAGTGATGGAGAATTTAGCAGCTTTTCAGAGAGAGAGAGAGAGAGAGAGAGAGAGAGAGAGAGAGAGAGAGTTCTTTTTTTAAATTAGTGTTTGAGAAATTTAACCTGACCTTGGTTAGATCTGGGTTCTGGAATATGTGGAATATGGTTTTCTTTCTCAAACCTTAACAAATTGAAGGGGGGATTTGATAGAGAATCAGGACTTTACCATTCAGAGAAAATACCATTCAGGGAAATTCCAGTCTTCACAGATTCTCTGATCTCAGATCTCTGAAACCAGTCATATGGAAGATAAATTTTTGCTGTCACTGGGTGTCAAGAAATAACTGCATTCCGTGCTCACGAGCAGGGAGAGCTACTTACCATGTTTAATTCTTATGTACTAGCCATGGTCTGCCAAGTAGAGCTGGAGGAAGACCCAGGCTGTCTTTTGAATTCCAATTATGAGATGTAAATTTGTAATTTTAAGGCATTTTGTTATGCACATGTTTTAGGTCATGGGCATAAAAGGCATCTTGCTATTATGCCGCTACGAGGCCTCCCTCCTACCAGTGGTGGAATCATTTTCTTATTTACCCTCTTTGATATTCACCCAGAGATGAATTAGTTCTTGTCTGAAATGTTACCATTTGGTTAATCTAAAATGTCTCATTGTCAGCTTGCTGTGGAAAGCAGTAATCCAGAAGGAATATTTTTCATTGAAATGCTGCTATTGTGTCTGGAAAGGTCATTTGCTCTGCTTTTTACCTTTGAAGTAATTTTCAGTTTTATTTGCTCGAAAGAGGGAACACTTGATTTTTTGCCCTGCTCACCTCTCTTGTGATTTACTTGGGGCAGGATGATTCTGTTTTGAAGGAACTTTTTCTCTCCTGCCTTTTTTTAGTCTCTTCTCTATGGCTCTTTTAAGAGCAAAACACGCTGTTATGATTATAGTTAGACCAGCGACTACCCTTTGCTTGAGACAAAAAGGCAGTCAGACAAAAACAAAAAAGCCCAGGCCCTGTTTTGGTTGTCTTGGTGGCCACAGTTTATATTCTGGGAGAGAATTTGGAATGAAGTCCCTTTTCAAAAGCTCCGCAGGCTTGTTTTCCCCTTTCAGGATAGAGACCTTGTTTGTGTGCCGACAAAGTCCAGGCCAACTTCCAGTTTTGCTGTTTCTTTCCAATGTTTCTGGGAAAACAACATCATGAGCACAAAGGCTTTAAGCTGAGACCCAAAAGTTAATAAGAAAAGTGTGTGCCGTCGCTCCTTTGCATGTTGTGGGAGTGGGTTCATGCATTCTTAATTGCACTTTTTTTCTTCAGGTCCAATATGCATAAAAATGCTGTGAATCTTATTCTAGGTTGACAATTTCCTAGCTTTAGAAGACTTGGATGTGGATGAAGAGATTAAGCCGCAGATGAGCCAGGGTATGAATGTTTTCTGCTTCCTCTCTCTACTGTTTTTCTTTATTCTATAGTCACTGTCACTGTCCTCCCATTGTTCATCGATTTGCTCGAGTGGGCCCAGTAACGTCTCCATTGGAGACTTTGTTGTTACTGTGTTTGGCATATCGAATACATCATGGGTAGCTTGCCAGGCTTTGCTGTGTGGGCAAGTTACTCTTGGTAGCTTGCCAGACTCTCCGAGAGGGGTGGAGGAATCGAACTCGCGTCGGCCATGTTGGCTGCATGCAAGGCAAATGCCCTACCACTGTGCTATCGCTCCATCCCTTATTCTACAGTTTGTCTACAAAAAAGATGTTAGGCAGTTCTCCTTCCTCTCCTCCCTCCTTCCGTCCCTTCTTTCTTTTCTTCCTTCCTCCACCTGCCCCCCCCTCCCCCAACAAACATGAAGTTCTGACTTCCCAGAGGTTGAAAAAACTAGACTCATAGTTTTTCAGTAACAAAAATTCCATTTGAAATGTGAAAGCTTGTAATGTCTTTGATTTTAAATGAAATAAAGGTGCTCCTCTTCCCCAAGGTTTACCAGAAGATTGAAATTTTTTTTTATAATTCTCTCAAGTATTATCATTTAAATGAAACTAATTCCTAGACAAGATACTCCATGTTGTAAATTGAGATTATTTTTGAGTGATAGAATGTTAATCATAAATCATAGAATATCAGAGTTGATTATAAAATAGACAAAAAATAAAGGATTAAAAATAAGACTCAAATGTTTATTTTTATAGATATTTACCAAATATGTAGACCAAATATGCAGAGTCTCCTACCCTGTGCCTGACTGTCTCCACCAGGGCCCAACAGCTGAAGACCTCTGGGGCCCAGCCAAGGCCATGCTGGGACCACTCTCCACACACTTGGATGAGCCTCACGCATAAAAGAACTGGCAGAGGAGCCCAGGTGTGTGGGACCCGGGGCTGAGATCTCCAAGCCTGCACGGTTTGGGACTGGACCTGTCAGTAGCTAGACAGTTACACCCACCAACTGCCGTGTAACCCCAACAACGGCCAGGATCCAGAGATTATCACACTCAGCTCCTGGGAGAGAACAAGGCAGAGTCTCCTACCCTGTGCCTGACTGTCTCCACCAGGGCCCAACAGCTGAAGACCTCTGGGGCCCAGCCAAGGCCATGCTGGGACCACTCTCCACACACTTGGATGAGCCTCACGCATAAAAGAACTGGCAGAGGAACCCAGGTGTGTGGGACCCGGGGCTGAGATCTCCAAGCCTGCACGGTTTGGGACTGGACCTGCCAGTAGCTAGACAGTTACATCCACCAACTGCCGTATAACTCCAACAACGGCCAGGATCCAGAGATTATCACACTCAGCTCCCAGAAACTTATCATCTTACCATCTTATCATCTCATTTCTACTTTGGACAAACTGGCAGGCTACCAAATGTAACCTGCCCACACGGCAGAGTCTGGCAAACTCCCCGTGGTATACCCAATACGCCAAATACCAGTAACAATGATGGGTCTCATTCTCCTAACCCTGAAAAAGCCTTGAATATGGCACTTTAAAAAAAAAAATCTCAGGGCTAGGACGAAGAAGACGTTACTGGCACCTGCTCGAGGCAATCGACGAACAACAGGGTGGTCGTGATTGTGATGTAGACCAAACACTTAGTACTAAAGACATTCCATAAACATTTCTTCTGGGGCATTCTCCGCCCCCTGGGCTGGGCTAAGACAGACAGACTTCGTACTAGTTACTGATGCTTAATTATAGAGATGAGGGCTTTTTCCTTTCTGGGTTAACATTTGTGTGGGAGTATAAGTATCCTTTGTTGTTGAAAGATCTTTAAAATATGTTCAAAATTATGGTTTCAAAATATTTTCTTTGAAAACGCTCTCTTCTGATTGTATATGCAGGAATATCTCAGTCGAGTTGAATGGTAGGGAAGAGGCAGCTTCATTGAATTGGTGCCTATGTGTTGATTGCAGCCTAAAAGTACAATAAACACGAATCGTGGCCATTACTTGGGGAATACTGGCTTATGATAAACAGATTGGTATTAAAGTGACTGGTTAGGGATGGCAAGCTCCGTAAATTGGTTCTGTATCCCCTGGTTGTGGGTCTTGGAGAGGCTTTGCTAATTGATAGCACTTAGTATTTTTATTCTGTCTCTAATCAGTACACAGCACTATTGAAAGGATTGTTTCTCAAGCATTCTCCTTACCAGTAGACTTTGCAGGATTTTTTTTTCTTTACTTACTTGGTTCAAGTGAGATCAGAGATCTAAAGAAATCACTTGCTCCAGGGAGAGTTTCTCGTAACTGTAATAGCTTAGGCAGCTCTGAATTTCTGTATGAGCAATTTAGGGGCTCCAATTGAATTAGAAGGGATAGGAAGGATTTACCAGGAAGCTGAGTTTGAAAGCTCTTTTTGAATTTGAGGGAAGGGTTTGGGTTTTTTAATTTGTGAGGATGTGTGTGTGTGTGTGTGTGTGTGTGTGTGTATGTGTGTGTGTGTGTGTGTGTGTGTGTTATTTTAAACATGCAGATTCCTGGATTCTGTACCTAAGAAAAAGTCTAATTCAGGTCTTTGGTAGAATCTAGTAACATGAATTTTAAACCTGTTGCTCTAGGGGATTAGGTGACAAGGTTTGTGGAAACACTTTTGAGACAAATGCTTCTGGTGTGCAGGTAGAGCATATGCAGTATAAAATTAGATTCCTAAGAGGGTGTAAAAGCGCATGTTGTGCATTTTTTGTACTGTTTCGCATTTCTTTCCTCCTTCCAGTAAGATTGAAGGTCTGATTACTGACATAAAATGACCTTGCCAATGAAGCTGATTTTGGTGATATCTGTCTCTTAAACTAGCCTTTTTAAGCCCTTCCATTCTTTTCACATTGTTTGCTTTAAGTAGTCTTTCAAGTTTTTTTTTTAAATTACCTTCTCTAATTTTATAGTTTAAAACATGGCACAAGAATGATGATGATGAGTGTCCCTCCCCCCCCCCCCCCACACACACACCGGAAATCAGGTAATAGGTAGTCTTGCATTCGTGTATGGAAGGTTCCTGAGGCTGAGCCATGTCTCAGTAGATTTGAATGAACTAGTTAAGACCTTCCCTCGTGTAAAGTAATGTAGAAAGTCTGGGCTGAAAAGCAGACCCAGCGCCCAGGATCCATTCCAATTACCAGAAAGACCACCAGGGCTTCACGATATTCATAATGCACAATCTGGGTCATTTGAAAGGACAGAAAATTAAATAGCCTGTGCCAAGGTGAATTTTAGTTTGAATCTAATTTGTATTAAACTTCAGGAATGTGAGCAGAAGGCAAATATTTATATCAGATGGGAAATGTGACATTTTAAATAGGCAAGATGCTTGTATAATTTTGGCAGCTGGGAGGTTTACTGATTAGATTCTGTTGTTATTGTTTAAGCAGCAGCTTTGCCTGGGGCAACAAGGAAGGGCCTGTCGTATTGTTTTTCTACCACTGACTTTATTTCTTCACCACACTTGGCTTTCAAAAATATTTTCTAGGGTTCAGGTATGTCATTCCTTTCCTTCCCGATATTGGATCTGTTGTTTGGAGATCCCAGGTGGAGACACTTTGGGTGCTTTCTGTTAAGGGTGCAGATCGAAATCTCCCTTTAATGACAAAGAGACTCCAGAGACTGCAAACAGCAAGCAGGGTTTATTCTAAGACTGGCTAGCCAGGGTCCAACCGCCTACACGGACACGCAGGTCCAGCAGGTTGGGTAAAGACCCCGAGCTTCTTCAAAGGAGATCTTATATAGGCCTTCCTCGGCCGTTACAGCAGAGCCCGTGCATTTCATAGCCAATAGATTTGTAATAACCCTTACTTTCCTGACCAATCCATTTTAAAGTACATCACTCTTAGCCTATAGTTTAAAGATCAGCATTTGCGTCAGTTCTTAGGAATGTCCTTTTTTTTACAGCAGTCCTGGGTCTTGTGACATGGGTCTTGTGAGAGACATCTGGTTATCTGGTCTGACCGCCCCCTCTTCTCCCCCCCCCCCCCCCCCAACACACACACCTTCTCATGACTTGCAACTCGGGGCACCTGTATCTGAATTCCTTGCTCAGGGTCAGAAAAACCAGTTATTTTGCAATGTGGGTTCCTGTTAAGCTAAGCTAAATTAATTCTGGTGGTCCATTTTGAGCCTGTCTCTCACACTTTCTCAGAAGAAGACAGCTCCATGCCCTGATATTGAGTAGTATCTGAGGGAACCTTTGTCTCCACAGTTTCAGGGCCTGTATTTTGTTTGTTTGCTTTGGGTCACTCCTATTTCTGTGCACAGAGGTCACTCCTGATGGGGTTTTGGGTCCATATGGGATGGCAGATTAAACTTGAGCAGCTACTCGTAAGGGAAGTGCCTTACCTGCTGTACTGTCCTCTGGCCCGTGGACCCCTCTTTTTTTATTTTTTTAAAGTTTTATTTTTAAAAAAAATTTTTTTTACTCGATAATTTATTTTATTTTTTTTTTTTATCATTTTTTAGTGAAACACCATGAGGTACAGTTATAGACTTACAAATTTTTGTGCTTGGGTTTCAGTTATACAATGATCAAGTACCCATCCCTCCACCAGTGCCCATCCTCCCCCACCACAGGTCCTAGCATCCCCCCTCCCCCCCCCCCCCCCCCCGTCCCACCCTGCCTCTGTGGCCAGGGCACTCCCCCTGGTTCTCTCTCTCTTCTTTTGAGTACTGTGTTTTGCAAGAGAGGCATTGAGTGGCAATCATGTTTGGTCTATAGACTACTTTTAGCATGTCTCTCCCACCCTGTGGACTCCTCTTTTTGTCAGGCAAAGGATTCTGGTCTCCCGCACACCCTTCATATGTAATAGATGTTATTCTATTCTGGTGTTAATTATTGAAAGCTGTTGAAACACCAGATGTCAATCAGATTGCTGTTGCTTAGAAACAGTATTTTCCCTCTTATTTGAACACATTTGTGTTTTTCTTTTTGTTGACAGTAATTTCA